TGCTAAAATAAGATATTTTAGTAATAGAAAACACCTCTCCTCAAAAGGCTGCACTACTTCATGTTGAATTGCTTAGGGTTGGGGATATATTCACATCATTAACCTTAAATCATTAACCACAACCTTAAAAACAGTTTTTTGTTTTTTTGTTACTAATAGTTTTTTTCTTTTGTTTTGTTGTTGTTGTTTTTCAGCAATAGTGAGTGCTAAACAAATCTGTCTTTTCTCTTTCAGATATAGTAGTATGTAGTATCTGTTACACAAGTGCAGTTAAAGTAGTTTGCTTTCATATTTCCATTTCCCGTTCTCAAAAGACTTCCAAGGATCGGGTCTGTTTTAATTACACCGCACTGCACTGGACCCTTTTTTTTCTCCCACATACTGTGTTTGTAGTCTGCTGAAGGATTTGTGAAGGACGTGTTGGCATGCTCAGCTCTTGGAACGGAAGAGTTGTGGATGGTATTGAACTGTTATTGTTTGAAAGCAGCAGTCACTGTGTCAGAACCACAAAACACCAAAGCAGAAAGGAAAAAAAACAAGCCCTGTGTAGCTCAAACACAGCTTTAACAAACCCAATATCTGCCTCATAAAGAGTCACAGGGGCGCTGCCCAAGGAGAATATGTCTCTCTTTTTTTGCATACCAAAGCAAATGGATAAACAAATCACAAAAGGACTTGAAGATGTGTTTTTTTTTACTTTGACCAGTAAGCAACTGCATAGCAGCAACAAATCAGCTAAAGCTCACAGCAACAACAACAAAAATGCAACACCTTAGCAACCACATAGAGACACCCTGGCAACCACCGACACGTAATACATCTGGACAAACAACGCTAACATTTTTTTGTTGGTTATTATATTTGTTTAAAATTTTATTGTATTTTTTTTATAGTCACACTTTATTTTAAATGGGTTTTACATTTATTATGCTCTTTTACAAAGTCTTGATTTTGTTTTCCCAAACAAAGACGTTTGTGCACGGGGGTAAAAAAAAACCTGCGTTCCTTAAGGCGGTCACACACCGGAGGAGAAGTGCAGTGCAGTGTCGCGTCTTTAAAATTCAAACATGTTATTTTCTATGAGTGTATGCACACCGGCAGCACCGCTTGGCGTCTGTCCGCAGCGTCCAGCTACGTCGTGTTGTACTTGTTGTAAGAATTGTTCTAGACGCGGCACGACGTGGCGCTACGCTTCTCGTCCGGTGTGCGACCGCCTTTAGACATGCCGAAAACCTTACGCTACAGCAGCTCTTCTTCTTGGTTTTCTCTGATGCACTAACTCTGCAGCAGCACTTCTTCTTCGTCGTCGTCTTGTCTGATGCACTCAACCAAGTGTTCTAACCATGACCTCGCCCCTCCCAACTATTCGAATTTCTTTTAAGGATATTCTTATGGGTCGTTTCGTGACATCACAAAGCCCGAAAACCAACACTGTAGTCCAAATAACCTGCAATTATGTGAATTGGTCCTTAAAATAAAGTGTTACCGTACAGTTTAAGAAACAATTATGAAAACATGCATTTTTTTTTTTAGGGTAGCATGCACGGATGAATCGTTTGCACTTTTGTTAAGAAATTATATAGTTATTTTAATTTCATGTTGACTTAAATGAGTAAAGGTATCTGCTCTTAATAAATAAGTTGTTGTTGCAAGCAAAACTCTTCCTCATATCCATCATTTAATAGTCAGGTTAAAGTCATTATATCCACCACATCCACATTCTCTGCTGTCATCATACACCTCATATGTGTGCAGCTGGAAGACAGAGGGAAGGGAAGGGATGAACGTCTGTAATTTAGCTGCGCGAGCTCACTCTCACATGGCCACATTGATGTGTGCACAGCCCTCTGGGCCCGAATTGCACTTCTATGGTTTCAAAGTGCTCTGGCTTGTCGTCATTAACAGATCTCTTTAATCTGACGCTTGAAAAACTTCTTAAAGCAGCACACTACAAATAGAAATTCCACATGAAGAGCCGGCTAGTGCTAACAAAACATGGGCTGCAGTTTAAAGAGGCCCATTCTTTTCTCTCTTTTTTTTTCTTTTCTTTTCTTTTCTATTGCCTTTACCCGAGGGAGACATACTTGCCTTATCTTTTGAGGTGGACCACCCAAGAAAAATGACTCAGGTCTCACCTTTGAGTGTGAGTGAGCTTTTCAGCTCAGAACTTGCACATCCACATCTATGCAGGTCCGTACGTGTGTGAACGTAGCGTATTAGATGTGTGTGAGTGTGTGTTTTAGTAATCTATGGGGATAAACAGCTGTTGAAGAAAACCATGAGGGCCGAGACAAGAAAGTGAGAGAATAAAGGCCATTGCCATGCCTCTCTCTCCATTCAGTCCCCCTTCCCTTGCCCCCAGGAAATCAAATGTTCCACGTTTGCTGCTTGTTTAGATTGATCCCGCTCTGGCTGGCTGATAAAGAGCGTATCGCCTTGGCCATCTGGACCCTGTTTGGAGAGATTCACCATAGAAAATCACACATTCACGCAGAGAGGAACAACAGCTGTGAGGTTGCTATGCTTCCCTCGGCCCTTCTGAAGGTTTCGAGGGAAAACACAAGGCGGTATCAAGGTGTATCCTTGATCAAGTACAGCCGGGGTATCCAGGAGACCTAGGGTTTGCTGTTAAGTGGCTCTCTCTGTCCCATGAGATCAAATGAAATGGAGCCTGTAGAGCATTTGTACACAAAAGCCACTTTAGTAGCTTGTCTTTACTGGCCTCCCTCACCTTCGTGCTCGGCTTAGCCAGTGACCTTTATCCCATCTGGAAGGACCTGATGTGCTCTTCAGGAGAACATCGGGACAAAGGGATCACCCACAATGACTGATTCAGGCTGTTTATTAATGAGAGCCTCAGATGACAGGGTCCTTTAATGACAAAGACGGAGATATTTTCAACCCCTCACCCCACCCCGGCACTCAACTGTTTCGTAAATCTGCTAGGAACCACATGAAAGACTCGACTCATAACTGTCAGCACTCTTCCAGGAAACATCACCACACAAAGGCTGTTACATTTCTGGGGTCTGCTGGCATTCGGGTTACTGGCTTTGTTGTGTTTCATTAGATGTGGACTAGTATACAGTGACGGTCATGGCTTTGTTGTACATTATGAAAGCTTCCTAAATTTCCCTCTAGGCCTGTCCAAGGCCTGAAATAAACTTTCTGCCACACCTGCCGATAGGTCTTAGGTAGACACTGTATTTATGATGGAAATGAGGCCGCAAGGGATGGAAGTACATTTCATTTCATGTACAAAACTATTTTAAGGTTCAACTAACCCCCCCCCCCCCCCGGGAAATGTTTTTGAAAACCATTTTTTTTTTTTTTTTTTTGTTTGAATTGCCTTTAATTGAACTTAGTTTTTTCTTATCAGTTTTGTATATTAGGGCTGTGTGTTACACCTAATGTTGTTAAATGAATGTTTATCGCATTATTTCAGTTTCATGTGTGTTACCGTGATGGTGTTTAGTGTTTGTGTGAATGAACCTGTGCACCTGCTTTTAATCTGTATTGTTAAAAGCGCTATATAAATAAAGGTGACTTGACTTGACTTTGACTTGACTTGAATAATCGACACTAAAGTGCGCAACGATTTGTTTACTTTGATTGCATTGGTGCAGGCTGTAGATATGTTCTTACTGTACAATGGGTTTTAAATAATGCTATTCTTTTTTTTCTTTTTTTTGCTTGCCAAGGGTCAATTCAACAGTCATTCAGTCAATTTCCATTGCATTACACCATTACTGACCTTTCACCCTTCACAACCAGAAAGTCAGGCCTTGTAGTCAGCAAAAAAAATACTTTTTGTTTTCATTTGATTGAAGTCAGTTCAGTGGGAATTAAATATGACTTTTCCATTCATCCACTGCCTTTTTATGAATTAGAATGGTAGCTACTCAGTCATTTGTGGGCATGTCTGTACGAAATTGAAGCTGAGCGAGAATGGAAAATGAAAATGCAGATTAATTCGATGATAAGCAAAATCATTCAATCCATATGCCTGTTCATGATTACATCCATTATGGTCACAAAAAAAATGTATTATGGTTTATTGTAGCTTCTTATAGGCTTTGGTGAAGGTTTTTTTTATTTTTTTAGTCTTTAAAGGTTCTGTTGCACCATAAAAGAGAGTCATATTGTTAAAGAGCCACTTTTGTTACATATTTTTTTAACCCCTCCAGACTGTTACTACAGATTTGACCCATATGGGTTTTAACACACAACTTTCCAGTGTGAAGCTTCATGACCTCCTTCACAGATGTGATTTGAACATGACTATGCAAAATGCTTTTACTGTCACCATGTCTCACACACACTCAGTCACAAACAGTTAAATGTGATTTATGTGACTCAAAAACCACTATGCTGGAAATGTAATGCTTACTGTGCAGAAGACTTAAATCCACTTATAATGTTACTCAAGGTTTCTTGCACTGAAAGCATTTTCCACCCTGCCTTTTACAATTAAACAGGCTGCTTTTGCTCTGACCCCCTTTATCAGGCCAGGTCAGATTTCTGAATCCTAAATACGTTTTGATATGCATATGTGGGTGGTCATATGTTAATGAGCTGTTAACAAGCTTTTTGTGTAGAGTAGATTAGTGTTGTAATATAAATTGTCTAAATGTTATAGAATGGAGTATGAAAAATAAGCTTTCTGTGTGAAACAGGATGTGCCCTTTTTAAAGATGAGAATAATGCTTAGCTTTCATCCAATCAGAACAGTTTTGCGATTTCTTAAATGGATCTAGCAGGCTTCTGAGGTGAACAACTGCTACTTGGCCCTTTAAAAGAATGAATAGTTGATTTTATTCTAAATGGTTTTGAAATGAAATGATAGGCTGTTGGCTGATCAAACACTTTATGTGATGTATTTGATACCCTTCATTATGGATTTGATTGATGCTCAGCTTTATTGACAGTGATGCTTCTTTCCTTTATCTGGAATCTACCGGTACTTTATCTAAAACTCGATTTGCAATTTTCCCTTTCAGGTTCTTCAGGAACGTGTGGAGAGTCTACAGAGACAGCTGCATGCCGTTGAGAAGAAGTTGATGAGCCACGAGTTGGAATACCAGGAGCAGGTAAAGTTACAAATGGCTTGGACCCCAGAGTGCGTGCCACGTCCCCTGGAGGGCCAGGAAGAAGCCATGTCTCCTCACTGAGTCACTGATATGCCCTGCACACATTTTACACATTCCATGAGATCCGGCTTCAAGAGCCAGAGCCCTGGGCCAGGAATGCTGTCCCCGTTTCAGAGGGATTTCTCAATAATAACAGGCCACCTTGACCTTGAGTTAAAGAAAAAAGAGAGAGAGAGAGCTAATTAGCTGATTAATAGCTCCGGGAGGGTCTCTGGACCTGGTATGTGAGTAGAAAAGCCCTTTTGTCCTGGAAACCTCTGCTGACCTTTACTGGGCTCCTCAGACAGTTGTTGGGATGTGCCCTTGGCTGAAGTATCTGTTCAGGCTACAGGAGGGCTCTCTAGAGGAACAGCTGCACTGAGTTGGCACCATATTCTGTGGAAGAGTCCCAAAGATGCCTTTTATATGACTGAGAGCCAATCGATTAGTGGTCAGACTGTGTTATGATGAACATAGGCCAGACACCTGACAATTAGGGACAACTAGGTGGTGTCTAGATTGATGACTGTCCAAACTAAAGTGCTTCCCCAAAATGACTTGCGCTCACGAACAGTCCAAATTGGCACTATAATCAATTACAGAATAAAATAAAAAAAAGTTTAAAGTATGTTTACAAAATATCAAGTATGTTTCTGTGATCTGACGCTGCTACTTGGGTACTCATCCCTATCCCTACACTTTGTTACTTATTCTAAAACAACAATTTTTTTTACCTTTATTTATATAGCGCTTTATACAATACAGATTGTGTCAAAGCAGCTTTACAGTGTTAAACTGGAAAATAGTTTGTCAATAATGCAAGAGGACAATAACAAAGAGTCATTTTTCCAGCGAAAGTTCATTGATGATTCAGTGATGTCATCATCCAGTTCAGTTCTCTTCCAATAGTGTTTGTGCAATCAATCAAGTGTCCCCAACTAAGCAAGCCAAAGGCGACAGTGGCAAGGAACCAAACTCCATCGGTGTAAGAAATGGAGAAAAAACCTTGGGAGAAACCAGGCTCAGTCGAGGGGCCAGTTCTCCTCTGGCCAGATGAAACCAGCATGGCGTGGTTTAATTTCAGGCGGCAACACAGGTCAGATTGAGCAGAGGACTTGTCTAATATTTGTTCTAACAGTCTTTCAAAACGTATTAATGATTTACAATTAATATCATAGGCTAATGATCATGAGCCAGTCAAATCCCGATAGATAAAATCAAGTACCACTTACATTATTTCCCACTGAAATATGTCACTTTAGGGAAGTTAAAGGCATTAAATATGTGGCTTCATATTGTCTTTAAGCAACACCTTTGTCATTAAAAAGTTAATGAGCATCAATTAAGCATCAAGATTTAGAACAACTGTTAAAGTTAAAAAAAAAAAATTTAATTCATTTTAATTCTGTAATGCATATTTCTGAGCAAATCAGGATGTTCAACAAGAAAAAAGTTAGGACTTTTACCCATGAGAAATAGTTGGTGATAACTGTCAAACTCATTTGCTCTTTTCTTTTCCGTAGAACAGCAGTTCATACTTGCCCTTTAAAGGACAAAATAAACCATAAAATCTTGACATTCATGGTCACTATGCAGTGGGGTTGTATACAAAAGTGCAGTGTGATTTCTCCTTTCTACCCAGCCTTTATATGAGGGTAACACATTTCGAGGGTCCATTTTGATTTCATTCTGACTTCAACAAGCCCTGGAGACAAGACCTCCGCTTTGGAATGCGATCGCCCACCCCAGACCTCCTTAAGAGACAAAGCGCCTGCAAAGAACATCTACTCCCACCTCATAAACCCTCACAACACCCCACATCTCAAACGCTGTGCATGTGTTCGTGAGAGAGGGAGTATATGTGGAAATAAATGCTGAGAGGCCTGCTCTCTTTTCAGTGCAGTGATATTGCCCCAGTTTATCTTCCAAGACATGTCTTTGTAATGCAATCCTCGGCATGCAAAAACAGCCCTCTTTTTGCCCAGACTTCAAACTGATGTTCCTCGCTCGGTTGCTCCGGGCCCCTCCACGCCTGCTTGGCATGAAATGTCGGCATGGCAGTGGTGTGTTTCTGCGCAGTCTCACTGGCACGCAGGATGAGACGATTACAGACACAAAGCCTTCGAAACAGTTAAGTTACGGAGTCCTCCGAGAGGTTTCCTTCCCGAGGCACATCAAGGTGTTATTCTCATATTAGGATGGATTTGACATGTTAGTTAAACAGGAGCTATTCGCTGCATGCTAAGTGTGCTGACGACTGCAGTGAGTCATAATCTGGCAAATCTCCCTTCTTCGCTGGTGAGGGTGAAGCCGAGCTTTTGATGTAAGCATAGGATTTCAGTGATGTCAGCGATGATGCGTTCAACACTCCCAAAGCTTTTACATTTTTACTTGCTTTATTAAACGTACAGTATGCAATTTCTGAATGACCAAACATTTTTCAAAAATATGATTGTTTTTCTGAACAATTCCCCCAATCTGCTGTTGGTCAAACAAACAGCCAGTACCTCACCAAACTCACCCAATTGGGGTCGGTATTAATATGTCGGATGCTTAAACAAACAAATTGCATGGGATGGAATCTTGCATTTAAAAACACAACAGAACAGTTTAAAAACAGTTTTAAATATGTAAAGCTTATGATGACAATAAAAAAGGAACCCCCTATAACAGTGATCCTCAAATCTGGCTCGCAGAGTTTAGCTCCAACCCTAATCAAACAAACCTACCTGTGATTTTCAAATGATCCTGAAGACATTGATTAGCATACTCAGGTGTGTTTGATTAGGGTTAGAGCTAAACTCTGCAAGAAAGGGGATCTCGCAAGCCAGATTTGAGGATCACTGCCCTGTAAAGACAGAGCCACTACTACCAATACGGAGTAATGTACACTTTTCAAGAACCAATCAATTCTAGATGAATCCTGTCCAATTTTTCTCGTTGATGTCCTTTTTTGTTAGAGATATGACCGATTAAATCAATAAAATGAGTAGCAAATTATTTGTTGCGATTTCTTGTCGACTTTAATATTGTAGTGTATAGACCTTATGTAGCTCCACCCCTTGGGATCTCGCAAGCCAGATTTGAGGATCACTGCCCTGTAAAGACAGAGCCACTACTACCAATACGGAGTAATGTACACTTTTCAAGAACCAATCAATTCTAGATGAATCCTGTCCAATTTTTCTCGTTGATGTCCTTTTTTGTTAGAGATATGACCGATTAAATCAAATAAAATGAAATGAGTAGCAAATTATTTGTTGCGATTTCTTGTCGACTTTAATATTGTAGTGTATAGACCTTATGTAGCTCCACCCCTTTTCAGCGCTGCGCTCCTTGTCTTCACTCGTCCGTTAGTATTTCCACAGCGTGAAGGTAAACTTATACGGATTATATTTATGGTAAAACTTTAGTATAGGGAACAATTCTCATGATTAGCATGCCTATTGTTAACATATTGGCTGTATATTAGTAGGCCTACTTATAAAGCATTTATTCAACATGACCCAAATACCAAAACTTAACAACTACCTTACTAATTATTAATAAGCAGCAAATTAGGAGTTTATTGAAGTAAAAGTCATAGTTAATGGAGCTAACACAAAAATGGAAGTACAAAGACAAAATTCTAAAGATGGCTGTGCACTTGTTTCTCTGACGCATAAGGTCTATAAACAAATTCATGAATTTCATTGCAGTATAGTTAGTATTACTCCTTTGCCAATAACAGGGTCATTACTATTAGCTGTGTATTTCCACAGAAAAGATGTCTAAACATTAAATCTGTTCCTCTCCACTGCCAGCGCACCGTAGAGTAAGTGGCGTCATTTTCCATTAGCTTCCCATTACCTGTGTAGAGCCGCACTCCACTGGAGTGGCACTTCATAAATCATACTTCTGCCTCATAACTTCATAAAGAGCCTCCTCCAACCTTTAATTTCTGTTCACATCACTCCCAGCCTCTTAAAAATGCTCCTTTTCAGTTTGCGTGCAATTCAGAGAGCTTCGTACTCAACTAGTGCTCTTGACTCCAGAACCGCCAATTTTAAGACGCAAACCTTTGTAAGTGATGCAGGTTTTTGATGTACCCTTGTGCATCTGACAATGTTTTTGTCACTTTACCGTGTTTTTTGTTTTTTTTTAAATGCTTGTGCACTCTTTCCCTCCCCTCCACCCCTTCATTAGCATACATCAAGCTCCTGACGACATGACAAACTTTATTTGAACATTCAAAGTGCTGAGGTCTTGCTGCTTTCAGCTGGCAGCTGTCAAAAACCCCAGCTAGTGACACATCCTGCATCTCTCAAAGTCAAATGCAGGCACAATCTAAAGACTATATATAGATGAAATGGTGTCATTTTAAGTGAGAATGGTGCGGAAAGGAGACTGCTGCTGTCTTCAGAATAGAGGTTGGTTTATTAAACAACAAAGAATACTTTTTAAAAAGGAAAGGAAGATGAAATCGTTCACTAGTCATATTGTTCAGTTGTGAAATCTGGAAGCTTTTACGTGCAGTTCATTAGTTGATGGAAGTAAATCAAAAATAAAGCACAAAGCCTTACCCTCAAAGTGGCCCAGTGTTTCAGTTGTGATTGTAAGGGCCTGTCAGAATTTACTGAAAAAGGAAACCTTTATAAATGAGTGGCTATGTTCGGGGAATATACTGTGTCTGTCATGCCACAGTCAAGGATGTTTAAAGGGATAGTTTGCTCAAAAATAATCGTGGCTTAATTTGTGCTGGATCCAGCCAGAACAGGATCCGGGACCTCTGTTTTTGCCTGTCTGTGTTCCGGTACCTGTTTGCATGGATCCAGAAGAAGCGTTATGGGCGCTTCTGATGAGGGTTAAACAGACTGGGAAGACAGAAAGTGGAAGATTAATGATACAAATGGTCACAGTGAGGATACTAGCACTTTCTTTTTTCCCCTTCCAGCCATAAATATGCTATTTACATTAACGCA